GTCGTTGTACTCTTAGAACAACCTACGGATTACCTTGTGCTTGTGAGTTGACAGGATATAGAATTGATGGTTTACCGATACCAATAGATGTTGTACACGTTCATTGGAGAAAACTAAGTATGGAAGTTAAGTTGGACGAAGATGTAGATGATGGATCAGAGGTGGATATGAGTAGTGCAATAGATGAGTTATGGAAAAGGTTTAAGTCACTGGATGTTGTTGGGAAAAGGGCATTAAAAAGTAGGGTTTTTGAACTTGCCTTCCCTACAATGACTTCTATGTGTCCACCACCTGAGAAAATAAAAACTAAAGGGGGAGTCAAGAAGAAAGACAAAAAACCAGTAGGATATGATGTTTATAGAGACCCTTCGTATCACGAGTATGTTGATCAAGCATCTCAATCTTCACAGAAGCAATCTCAACCATCACAAACTTCGAAGAAATTGAAATTATCACAGTCTTCACAAAAGAAATCTCAACCAGCACAGGCTTCGAAAAAGTTGAAATTATCACAATCTTCACAGTCATCTAAGCAGTTCATCCTTCAATTTCCTAATCACATCAGGTCATATATTGATGATGTAGTTAATGTTGTATCAGATGGTAATTGTGGATTCCGAGTCATTGCTTCATTGCATGGATATGGTGAAGATGGTTGGCCAATGGTTCGTCGAGACTTGGGGTTGGAAATAATACATAATGAAAGATCAAGTTTGTATGTCAATTTATTTACTGATTAGTTAGCAGTAGTGAGAGAATCTTTGATGATAGAGGAAGTTGGTCCTCAGCCACCACATAAATGGTTAACTCTACCAGATATGGGTTATGTGATAGCGAATCGTTATAATGTTGTACTTGTCTGTTTAGGAATTGAATGCTGGACTTTCTTCCCTATGACATCTTCATTTTCACCGAATGTAGCAATTTACTGCATTGGTTTTGTAAACAGAAATCATTGGGTTCAGGTACTTAGTTGTTTTTAGATAATGCGATTAAACCTAATTCTTTTTCGTTATTTTTACTTAATATTGTGAGTTATTTTTTTATTTAAGGGTGTGTTTGGTTCGGGGTAGATGGAGGGGAGGGGAGGGGAGGGGAGGGGAAATTTTTAATTAAATATGTTTGGTTCAAATTTTAGGAGGGGAGGGGAGGGGAGCAAAATCCCTCCAAAACACATTTTTTGGTTCCCTCCGAATTGGGGGGATTTGGAGGGGAGGGGAGGGAATATTAGTTTTGATATTTAAAAATTATTATATTTACTAAAATATCCTCAGTTTAATTTTATTATTTCAAAACTATTTGTTATCTTTTATATTACTGTTTTTTCTCGATTGTTTTCATCAATTTATTATAATTGTTCTTCACCTTCAAATTATTTTATAATTTTTATAATTAATATAAATCATAATCATTGTCTTTTTTTTTTATAAAAAAAATTATGTTTCGTTATATTCGTTTTTTTCTTATAATTTTGTTATGTACTCTATCATATTTTCTTTTATATCAAATTGTAAACCATATCATTTTATTTATTTTTGTTTATTCATTTTATTAAATATTTTGAACCATTAATATTTAGTAATAAGTTATTTTATATATTTGTTTTGTTATATGATTCATCACAATTTAAACGATGTTATTGGCATATAGTTTAATTTATGTTGGAAAGTTATAAGTCGAATCGATTGTACTCAATTTTTTAACTTTAGTGACAAATAAATATTTTTTTAATCACTCAATATTAGAAATTTTATTACCAACAAAAATACGCACAAATTTTTCACATTTTAATATCATATGACTTATATAAGATCATAAGGATAAAAATGTAAATTATTAATAAAACCCCTCCCCTCCCCTTCTGAACCAAACACATTTTTAATTAAAATCCCTCCCCTCCCCTCCCCTCCTCTCTTTTGAACCAAACACTTATTTAATTAAAAAATTCCTTCACCTCCCCTCCCCTCCCCTCCCCTTCATTAAAATCCCTCCCCTCCCCTCCCCCTCATTTGAACCAAACAGACCCTTAGGTAAACATGAAAGAAGGGTTTCCATTGCCACCAGTGACAGTAGATTGGAAGAAGTTTCGTTCTCCAGCAGCAACATCTTGGATGATAGGATTTGCAGGACGTCTACAACATTGGCAACAACTTACGCCTATATTACCAACGCATTTTGAATTATAAATTATGTTACTCATTTTTAATTTTGAAACAAAAATCGTGAATTATGTTACTCGTTTTTAATTGTAAAACATGAATCGTGAATTATGTTACTCATTTTTAATTACAAAACATGAATCGTGAATTATGTTACTCGTTTTTAATTGCAAAACATGAATCGTGGATTATGTTACTCGTTTTTAATTGCAAAACATGAATCGTGAATTATATTAACACATAAACATAAACTAAATAGGTCAAATTAGTCTAAAAGTTAACGCATGAACATAAACCAATTAGGTCAAATCTGTCTAAAGGTTATCATATAATCATAAATATAAATAAAAGTCACTGTGATATACCAAGATGTAAAGCTTCGAACAAATCAACAAACTGTGGGTCATCCTCTTCAGCACCAGTCTGCTGAAGATAACGATGTATCAATGAAGACATACGAGCCACTATAGGATCAGATGGTCCTGCTTCATATACAGGAACTGGCATCTCTGTTGTCGCATCAACACTGAGCGGTACCAGACGAGGATGCGAAACACGATAATACCACTCAAGATACCCATCATCTGTCTCATATGGGGTGGTGGCCGGCGCTGTCGGACGAATCACATTCTGAACGCTCTGATGGTAACTAATCCAGTCAACATCAATATCACCCGCCGTTCGAGAATCAAGAGGTGGATGTGGAACATACTGCCTGTATCCAAACTGACGCAAACATCTGTCGGGCATGTATGGAACAATAGTGTCACCCCACCTCAGACACCCCCTATAGAGACATAACTCATCAAACTGACGCCATACTCTATGATTCTCGAATGGGCGCCATATGACATCAGCAGGTGTCAGCTCGTCCAGAATAGGCCGCAAGTCATCCACCTTCAAGGTACCATGTCTATAGGACTATCTCATCGCTCGTGGGAGACCCACATTATTAGCTGGTATCCAGTTCTCTCCTCTTTTTCCAAGTGTGAGAAAATACTCATGAATCCAGCACTGTTACAAAATGTAAAATAATTAATTATAACATAATAAACTAGATAAATAAAATTAATATACTAGATAAAATTAATTAAAACAAAATATACTAAATTAAAATAAATACCTGTAGGAGAGTCGGATAACCACCAAGCTGCTTACAGCTGAACATGGAAGCATCTCCGAGATATCGGTAAAGAGTAACCAACGCAGCTGCTGCCCAACTTTATCCTGATAAGCCATCCAAGTCTATAAACAGTGACAGGTATCGTGCCTCGACAAACGTAAACGTCTTGTCCGCAAAAATAGTGGAACCCACTAACATCAACAAATAAGCTCTAGTGGCATAATCCCATCGAGATGCAGCTCTGTGCTCTACGAACCAATCATATAACCACTCCAGCTTATAGTAGGAACCCCTGCACTCACGGACTTGTTGCTGTGCTATTCTATGTGACACTCCCAAATAATCAACAGCCCACTCAACAGCAAGCGCTTCACTGATATCTGGAGGGTTCCAGAAAACTTCCCTGATGGGCAAGTGAAGCAGGCAAGATACGTCATCTAGAGTAATCGTCATCTCACCAAACGACATGTGAAATGAAGATGTCTCTAGATGCCACCTCTCTGCAAAAGCAGAAACTAGGTTTGTGTCTATCTTTGTTAAACTGGTTCTCTGAAGTGAAGCTAGACCAGACCTAGATATCCATCTCTCCATCTCTCTGGGTAACTGTAGTGGAACCCTCTGAGTCAACTTTATCCCATGTCCCGCCACCTTTAACTCTTTCTTTGACCCTCTCTCCTGAAAAAAATTAAAATTAAAAATATTATAAAATTCAATATTAACAATTCGAATTCTATTCAATATTAAATAATTTTCGTTTACTTACCTCACCAAACCATATACGGTATGCAACATATTGTTCGTATTTAACTAACAGAGACGAATCATACGGTCCTCCGGGATATCCAACCGGCTCGGATGCTGATGTTGATGCATCAAAATGCTCTTCTTCAGCCATCCTCGATGACTCGCCCCGTCCTAGTCCACGAGGGATCCTACCATCTCTGCCTCTTGTGCGCACCACTGGAAAAAAAATCAATATAATTAAAAATTAAAAAATAAATAAATAAATAAATATAATTAGAAAACAAAAATAACAAAAATTAAAAAATAAAAAAGCAATGAACCAGAAGTCTTTCTTTGAAGACTTCCGGAGTTGAAACGCAACATTAAGAGAACCGGATGTCTTTAAGAAAGACTTCCGGTGTATAAACTAAATTCTTTTCTGAACCGGAAGTCTTCAAAAAAGAGTTCCGGTGAGCAACCTAAAAATTTTGTAAACCAGAAGTCTTAATGAAAGAGTTCCGGTGAAGAAGTAAAAACAAAATACAAACCGGAAGTCTCAAAATGAAAAGTGAGAAATGGAAGTAAAAAATGAAAAAATGTAAGATTATAAATTTATTAAGGGTATTTTGGTCCAAAATTTTTTAATGTAGGGGTGTGGGTATAAAGGTAGGGGTATAAGGTTAAACTTTCCTTATAATTTAATTTAGCGACAAAATTGATGGTTTATTAGTTAAAGAACTCTTCTTCTAAAAGCGAACAAGAAGGAGTACTAAAAGAAAGGCTTCAAAAAAATTATAAGGGTTTACCGATTGGCACATGATTCGTAGCTTCACCCAGTAGTACATCCCAGTTTCCGATCCTCCAAGGTTTCTTCTACTCTTCTCCGTGCTGCGCACGAACCCAGCATAACTGCTATCGTGCGCAATTCGCATCGAACGATTCCAACGCATTCGTCGGGCTAAGTACAGTGTGAATTCACAAGTGAGAGAAGGAGTATGGCTGATATATTTGCGTGGCTCTTCTCCTTCTTCACCCTTATTGCCCTAATTGTTATTATTATTTACCAGGTTAATCCTTCTTCATGCTTATACTCAACTTCAATTTCTCCATTATCTAAACCTTTCTTTTTACAATTCAATTCTGATTATGTGTTATATGTTTATTTAAATTAGGCTTCTGTAGTTCTACCTTGGTCTTCTGTTTCTAAATGTGTTTTTGTGATTTGTAGTTTTCTCTAGGAGTGTGTAAAGAATTTGGTTGTGTTTGAGTTCGTTTTCCATATGTTGACTTTTTTTTGTTGCATTTCTTACAGTTAATGTGCCTGGCAGACCTTGAATTCGATTATATAAATCCTTATGATTCCGCATCTCGAATAAACAGAATGGTTTTTCCTGAGTATATTATATTAGCTGTCCTGTTCTGCTTCTACATTGTAACAGGGCACTGGGTAATGGCACTGTTCTGCATTCCTTACATCTACTACAATGTGCAATTGTAAGTTTTCTATCAAATCTATAAATAAGTTTTGCAAGTTTATTGTCAATGAAGGATATAATAGGAAATAATCATTGTCTGTACTCTGATTTGTGGGTGAATGGTTTGAGTTAGAATTTTTGGTCTTTATTGTTAGTGTACAATTGCTATTTTCTAGTAAAGAGTAACTTGCTCGTTGTATATAAGATAAAGTAGAGTTTGATTGCTATAATGTATGTTGGGTTATGCTTCATCGAGTTGCCAAGCAGTTTTCTTGCTACCAAAGATTACTACATGTTTTGTTTCTAAGAAAACTCTTCCAGGAGAAGCATTCACGTAGTTTGGGAGAGGATGAAGAGTTGAATTTGAATATTTGGTCTTTGATTTACTATGCATTTTTAGTCGAGTGCAGGAGTGTTGAGAGAATCAGACCAAATTGATTCACCCAATTATCAATAAGTTGCCAGGTCTTTTTCCGCTCTGTTGTTTGGTTCAGCTTGGGTTTGTTTTGTTAAGAGTTTCGCATTGGATGAGATATGACCGAACATAAATTCTATGTTATTAATCTCGGATAGCCTTGCGTAACTCCAACCCTCTAAAATGCTATAGTGGACTGTGGGATGGCCGGCCACTATTGCAAAGACTAAAAACCTATGTACAAAGTAAACATAAATACTCAAAAATTGACTTACAAAATATTAACGAGATCACCATATTTAATAGTTCCTAAAGTATAGATAAATGAAATTTTAGCAGGGAAGAAGAATAAAGCATAACTGAACTTAGTGTAGAAAGAAAGGAAAAACGATCAGTTGAGATCAAGAACATAACGTTACTCTTCAAAGGATTCAAATTGAAATTTATACCCTTAAACAAAATGACAACAGTTTTAAAAAAAGAATTTGAGGAATTTATCCCCAAAATTCTAATTGTGGTTTGGGGCCATAATTAGCGGCCTCTACGACCACTACTTACTAGTAGTGCCTTGCAGGCCAATAGAGTCGTGCTGAACTCTACCACCGCTACCTATTCTGCTATAGCGTGCAATTGACAACATAGCGTAAGTTTATAGGTGGGAGTGAAAACAATTTTCATCTTACAAACTGTTTTATGTAATGAAGAGTTATATCCCCATCTAAATTTTGATATGATATCAAAGTTTATTTAAGATCCACTGAGAGACTTGCTATCAAGTCACTGTCATCAGGTTGCTCAGGTCATGCTTTAGATGTCCAATGATATCAAAGTTTATTTAAGATCCACTGAGAGACTTGCTATCAAGTCACTGTCATCAGGTTGCTCAGGTCATGCTTTAGATGTCCAATCCTAAGCATGAGGTGTGTGTTAAGAGTCACACATTTGACAAAATGTAATACGAATCATTGTTTTATAAGTGGAGACAATCTTTATCTCACACACCGATTTTGTTAGGATGCGTTAGGTCCAACCCAAATAGATTTGATTTTTAGGGATAAGATTGTAGTGTGTTTTTTAGTAAGAAAAAGCCACAAGGCATAAGTTGGTTTAATATTTGTCCAAACCTCAAATTCTTCTCTTGATCTACTATCAATCTTTTAGCTGCGTTTTTCACTTTATGTGAAGATCAAAGCATTATAAATTTTTTTTTTTTTTATGAAATCAAAATAATGAATCAATCAGGCGCAGCGGTTCAATTTGTGACTTTAGTAAGGTCCCATGACATAGTTTGATTTATAAATCTAGATGATTAATTAAGGTTCGTTTTGTGCAGAGTTTAGTAAGGTCCCATGACATAGTTTGATTTATAAAACTAAATGATTAATTAAGGTTAATTTTGTGCGGTTCGAACCTCAACCATTAACATCCGTAGTGTTGTAAACCAACAAAAGCCGCAATGATAATAATATTCATGGTACATGAGCAAATGAAAAACCAATGGAATAGCTGTAATTTTATTTTTTATTTTGATTTATACTATTGAAAAAACCAAGTCCCATATATCGATAATTCGGACCACCCACCGTTTATATCCATGCACTAAACCCAATAGTTCTGTGTGTGAGGGAGTGTAATGATAGAATTAGAGTTTAGTCTATCTTATTCCTACAAAACTAACTTGTAAGGTGAGAGGTGTCACTCTATATAAGCTTTTTATGGATTCTATCTTTAACTAATGTGGGACTCGGTTTTTCCAATACGCCCTCTCACGCTCAAAACTATTGATCTTGGCACGTGGATATAAACGGTGGGTGGTTCGAATGATTGATATATAGGACTTGGTTTTTTCAATACACCCCTTGCGCCCAACACTTTTTTTGGACTTGGTGCGCATATATAAATGGTGGGTGGCCCGAACCGATAGACTCGTGATACTATGATAGAATTAGAGTTTGACATATCTCTTCTCTATAAAACTGGCTTATAAGATGAGGGGTGTCACTCTATATACCCTTTGTGAGTTCTATCTTTAACCAATGTAGAACTTGAATTTTTTTCTAATATATATGCTGCAAGTTTGCAATTCTTGATACCATAAAAAAAAATGCGGATAAATGCAGCTGATGTAACTTCAATTAAATCATGGATGCCCAAAAAAACCTTTGGATGTGTTTGTTGTTGGTTCATAAATGCAATGTATGCAAAATTGCAAGTTAGATTGTAGGATTGCATGAGTCGTTTCAAATCTCATCCTCCGTGTTGTGTATTGCATTGATCATTCTGGAAATTTGATCAATTGGGTTGGAGTTTTTTCTTGAAAAAATTTTAATTTGTTTTAGATTATTTCAGCTTCGGGCCGGAACCGTAGGAATCATTCATTCTTCTATGTTTCTCTCGAGTTCTTTTAGCACCCAATCCACTTCTCTTCTTGCAATGCCACTGCCTGTGACTCGACCTCCTAATGGGATCTAACGTTTTGTTTTTTTTAGTATTTTACCTCATTTATTTTGATAAACCCAGACTCATCAATTCACCCTCTTTATTTCTTCATCCTTTCTTCCCATTTATTTTACCTATTTAAAGCATAGTAACACTGTAATGTAATTTCGATTAAAACACACTACAATATAATAAGCTAAGTAATACTACAATGTAACATAATTATTTGAGAATATATATATATATATATATATATATATATATATATATATATATATATATATATATATATATATATATATATATATATATATATATATATATATATATATATATTTTGTTGGACTTATCGTCTTAATTGCGGTCTGTTTCTAGTCGTCTTAATTGCGACACTTTGTCTTGTCTTCATTGCAGCACCTAACATCTTCATTGTGTTGGATTTGAAGAACTAAATTTAGTCCCACATTACTTAGAGATATAACTCGTGTTGTGTTTAGAAGTAGAAGCAATCTCCACCCTACAAGCCAATTTTGTAGGGATATGTTAGAGATCTTTTTCTTATGTTTTGATGAATATGGTGATGTGTAACTGGGTAGGAACTAGGATTTTACAAATTTTCAAACCCTTCTGATCCTGCATAGAGTCTAGATTTTAAAAATATTGTTAAATGTCTTCCATGTTTCTTGAGGAAAATTTTTGATCTCTGAATTTGTAACTTTGAGCCGAAAAATGACCTATTGTTGTTGCAGCAACTTTAAAGCACTTAGACCAAAGAAGCACATTCAACTCAAAATTAGAGTCATATATGTTAGATATATTGACACATTCAACTCAAAATTAGACGCCATTCATTTCACAGACTCCTTTAGATACTGCTATCTGTATATACACTTTTATTTTAGATTAAAAAACAATAGGTAAAATAAGCATTCAAAATGACGAGTAAGACAAGATAACATATCTATTGAGGTGTGAAAATTTCTTGGAGATAGAGATATTGATTGACTCACTAAATTCTTTAACGAAATTATGAGATCAAAGCAAATGCCGAATGTATAGAGAAAAATTACTTTAGTTACAATCTATAAAAATAAGGAGGATTTATAAAATTGTGCAAATTATATGAGAATTTGATAGAAACTCCAAATTCAGATAAATTGAAAATGTATTACTGATTGAAGTTAAAACTATTACATAGAGGAATCCCTATGATCCCAGAGCAAAGTGTTTTACAGAGGAGATATATTCTCACTCTGCCCAACCTAAAAGATTTCTATCTAAAAATACACATAATCAATTCTCCCTTGCTGTTAGTGTCCTTATATAACTACCCTTCCCCCTTCTCACATAATCAGTTATAACTAATTTTCTATTAGGCCTTTCTATTGGGCTAAGGCCCAATTCCAGTATCCTATTAGAATTAAATCTATGAGTCATAGCATGAAGTTATGGAAAAGAGTGATTGAACGGAGACTAAGAAAAGAGATTTAAGTTACTCATAATCAATTTGCTTTTATGTATGGGAGATCAACCTTGGAAGTGTTCTATCTACTACAATGTGTGATGGAGCATTATCAGGTGGACCAACAAGACTTGCATTTTATTTTTATTGACTTGGAGAAGACATATGATAATGTCTAAAGAGATTTTGTGGAAAGCCCCAGAGAAGAAAGGGGTTAGGATTGTCTATATTTGAGTTATTCAAGATATGTATGAGGGTTTTTTGACTAGTGTGCGTACTCGGGTTGGAGAGACGGAAGTCCACATTATAATAAGATTGTACCAAGATTCAACCCTAAGCCCTTACCTTTTTACTTTAATTTTGGATGTATTCACGGAACACATCCCAGAGCTAGCATTGAGATGTTTGCTTTTTGCATATGATAAAATCCTACATGGAGAGTCAAAGGAGGATTTAAAAGAGAGCTAGCATTGAGATGTTTGCTTTTTGCATATGATAAAATCCTACATGGAGAGTCAAAGGAGGATTTAAAAGAGAGGCTGGAGATTTGGAGGAGCCTTAGAAACGTATGGTTTTTGTCTAAATTAGAAGTAAGACGGAGTATATGGAATGCAAGTTTAGCAAAAGGAGAAGTGTTTCTAACATGGAGGTAAAAATTAGAGACTACACCATACCACGCGTTTTAAATATCTTGGATCCGTAATATAAAACGATGGAGAAATAAATGAGGATGAAAACCATCAAATTCAAACTTGATACAAAAGTACCATTAAAGTTGAAGGAAAAATTTTATAGGACAACGTTAAGATCTGTGATGTTTTACGATAATGTTAGACGGTTAAAAATCAACATGAGAATAAAGTAAATGTATCAGATATGAGGATGTTGTGTTGGATATGTGGTAAGATTAGACGAGATAAGGTTAGAAATGACAATATTAGAGAGAGTGTTGAGGTAACAACTATAGTAGAAAAAAACTGGTGGAAAATATGCTTAGTTGGTTTGGGCATGTACAGAGAAGAACGGTCGATTTTGTTGTAAGGAGAATAGATTAAATAGAGAGAAGTCAAATAACTAGAGGTAGAGGAAGAAAACCTAGAAAATTGATAAGAGAAAGTATTATGAAAAATCTCTAGATTAACAAATTTTAGATAAAAATATAGTCTTGAATAGAAATACTATTGTGAAATTTGATTCATGTAGTCCACTCTACTTAGTGTGATAAGACTTAATAGTTGTTAGGAGTTGTTGAATATTAATAAGGATGGTTATACAATGATAGTTGAAAAATAATTATAACTTTTTATCATGTTTATAAGGTGTAGTATGGTCCTAATTATTGCATTTTTCATTACTTTGATTTGATCAGGTTCAGACAAAGAAAGCATTTGATCGATGTTACAGAGATATTCAACATGCTCCCTCGGGAAAAGAAGCAACGGCTTTTCAAACTCTTCTATCTCATTTTCATCCTATTCCTCTCCTTATTTTGGTTTGTGACTTGAAAGAAGGCTTCTTATTCATCAGAATTCAAAAAATGCACAATTAACTGACTATTTTTGCATTTGCGTTTTGCCGCAGGTTGATCTACACATCATTGGACGACCATGATGATTAGTTGGTGTTGATTGCTTATTTTGTGGAATGCATTCTGGAAGTGAGCTGCTAGACATGTTCAGATGAGAGTAGCTATTATGGACTAACTTATACTCTAGGTCTGGGTTGCCTACCCTTTCCGGCTAGGTTGTTGGACAATAAAACATATGTCTGTATATTGCTATACTTGAATCCGCTTTATGGTGCGGATTATGTTTTTTTAATTTATAAATTGATAATGCAATCTAACTTTTCTGCCATACTTGTCATTGTTCTAGAAATACCCCATGAATGAGTGATGTGAGGAATGTAATTTGACACTCTAGTTAGTTAAGGCAAGAACAAAGAGTTGGAACGAGGAATGTGGATGTGAGTTTAACATAAAAAAATTCATTCTTGCCACTTATCAACGTGACAACTAGAACTTAAGGCGAAAAGTTTCAGCCCTTTGTTGAGCTCAATCACTCTAAGCTTGGCAAGTATATGGGGCTTTCACATCACCAATTCAAGGGATTCCCGTTCCATACATAAACATAAACATTAAAGTCTACCGTGAAGTCGGGTAAAATTTAACCCATAATTTAAAATCCCATTAGTAAGTCACTAAAAGTTGTGATCTCTTGTTGAAGCACTCCAAGAAGAATCAATTATGAAAAATCGAAGTACGAAAGTCTTGAACGGATGATCCAAACGTCAAAATTCATCGTCAACAAGAATGCACACATAAACATAGATAAAAGATCTAAGCGTAAGAATTTTCCGCCACCTAGGAAGCAGACCAACATGGATCAAATACGAGAACACCTTGGACAAAATGAACACTCATGTTTGGAATATGAATGGAAAGAATATATTGAAGATTAAGTAGAAAGATCATATAGGTTAAGGTAACTTATTTATTGAGGATGGTGACTATAGAGTGACTAAATTGCATTTTGTAATGATAAGAACTTAAGTAGTCAAATCTGGTCTAGAGTGATTATAATTGATTGTTTTGACCTTTAATGTAGGACATCAACTGTGATTGTAGGAGAGGAGAGGGTTGTACTTGCAAGGTACTTCAATGTCAAAGTAAGTGTTTGGGTTAAAGAGAGAAAGCAAGTACGAGTGTTTAGGTATGAGTAGGAATGATTAGAATATATGACCCTCTCAAGATTTCCCCTAGCGCGGGGTCAAGGTTTCCCATGTAACCGAAATATCTGGTTGGCCAATGGGGGACTGCCAGGTGGAAGATCTAGCGCGTGATCTTTGACCTGATCCAACTGTCTCCGTGACTTTCAGAGGGGCAGTTGGTCGCGTGAACTATTAAGCGCGTGAGGTGCATGTCCCCAACGACTATGTGCTCCAACAATTATATTGTGTCCAACGACTATATTGTGCTCAACGATTTATTGTGTCCAACAACTATATTGTGTCCTATGGTCTTATTGGGTCTGTCCTTAAGTTAGACTGAATTGGGTCTTGTCCAGCTGTGGGGCAAGTGTCAGTCCAGAACAAGAGCCTTCCAAGTCGTTGCTTCGAGGCGAGGATCAATGGCTTGAGTTAGAATAGCTTGTGCGACCAAGGGGTAGAAACCATATCACGGGGAGGTCTTTGAGATCGTTATTAATTAAGCGAAAAAGTTTGGGGACGCGCAAGTGCGTAACATTGATATGGTCGATTGCGGGTCGCGCGTGACCTCCTCGGAGATGAAAGATGCGTTTTGTGTCGGTCAAACTTGTTCTCAGGATGAAGAAAATGTCGACGAGGCTCCTGCTCGAATATTAATCTGGTGACGTTGTCGGGGAGAATATGCTTGCGGGGAGCTGAAGAGATTTGTCTTTTCACAAACATGGGAGGGGCAGTTTTGAGGATGCCAAGTGGCAGCCTCTTTGTGCCACGTGTGACAGCACAATAAATTTTGTTGAAGGCCTATGAGGCTAGACAATGATGATGTTTTTCCCTTTGCGTTTTCCCATGCGAGCAAGGGAGCCTATATAAAGGGGGAAGAAATTTCATTTTCACTTGACGAAAATTTCTCTCCCCCTTGTCTTTTTGCTCTGCAACAACGTCCACCGCCGAAGATCTTATCTCTGTCGTCCGCTGCTCCTGCCTTCCCAAGATCTTCATCTTCAACCTCTGAACTCAAGTAAGTTCTTCAACCTGCATGAATTTCTGCAAATTATTCTTGAATTCGCTGGTGGTTCATGAGTTTTCCGGTTGAAGTTCATGTGGTTCTTAAAGAACACATGAATTTCTTGGGAAATTTATGAAGACTTTGAAGAACTTAAGCTTAGAATGTTGCATGTCTATAGATATTCCTAGGTTGTTGTGTGGGATTATTTTATGTTTGTTGTCGGGCAGGGGGTGTCCTCATAGCTGAGGGTTTTTCCTTTAGATGCATGACACCTCGAGGTAGTCGCAGAGACTTATCCCCTTTAGGGTCTTTATAAGTAGCGGGGACGTATTTCCGGCGTAGGGGATGCGTTTCGTCGAGACCCTTTGCCGTTGATAAGGGCCAGAGTCGGGAAGACATCCTCGCACTTAATTCTTGCCCTTTAACTTGATTTGTGGTGGAAGGATGAATTTGATCTTCGTCTAATTCATTGTTGCTTCCTCTGCTTTTCAGGTGAAATGGCTTATCATAACGAGGCAACCGTCGCCGAAGTTAAGGCAGACATAAACGAAGACGTGCCTCCCACCGAGTATGCCAACGTGCGGGTGGCTGAAAGGGATCTTAGTTGGATCTCCCAGGAGCCCCTTGTGACGAAATCCACCTTTACCGAGGAGGAGGCCAATAGTTTTGACCTCCTCGAAGACAGGATTAGAGACGCGCCCATGAGTTGGAGGGAGATTAGCCCGACGGAGAACGATCAGATATGCTCAGTGTATCAAGGGAGGAGATTTCCTATGTACGAGTTTGCCTTTAGGGAAGTTGGGTATCGTCTGCCCTTTACGGATTTCCAGGAGGCGATATTCTGCCACCTCGAACTATGTCTTGCCCAACTCCACCTAAATGCTCTGACGTTCATTCAGACATTCGAGTTGGTGTGTCGTTATCTCTAGATAGGGGCTACCGTGGATCTTTTCTTTTGTATCTTCCAGCTTTAGAGGAGCACTTCGAAATCGAAGCAGAGTTGGGTGTCTTTCAAGCAGCATAGCAGGTTGTTCTGGGCCTACTCAAAGTTTGTTCAAAACATCAAATTTAGATTTCTGGTTGTAAATCTCCTTTCTGAAGCGGACAAGAGCTTCCTGGTTACGATGGAGACGACAAAGGAAGATGGTCGGGAAGTGGTGCGTCATGTGTCAAAGTTTCCCTTGGAATGGGTGTACGCCCATTTTCGGTATAGGACAGACCAATTTCTTTTCAAGCACGATAAGCTGTATTTCGAGGACAAGAAATCTCTTCGAGCGCTGACAGCGTTCGTTGAGAGTTTCATCCCTTCTGTTTTAGTGGACAAGGATGGAAATCTTCTCTACTCTGAAGATGGAGAACCTGCTCGGGCAGTTCGTTACATAAATACTAAGACCCTTCTTGATTGCAGAACTAAGGCATAAGCCTTTGAGCTTCTATGTATAAATGATGTGCTCAACTTGTTTTTTGGTGTTTTAATGTCGTGCTGACCTCTTGTTTCTTCTTTGCAGGAAAGATGTCGAATTTACGTGAACACTTGGTCAAGTCAGCTGCAGTTAAAAATGTCAAAAAGGTTTCGACCTCGATGGCAGATGCGGTCAGGAAACAGGTGACCCTGGAGAAGTTTGTCGGTCCTTCGCCATCGTCGGGAAGCCCTTCTAATCCTCCTACCCTGGATCCTCAAAAGAAGAGGAAGCGAGACAACCTTGGCTCGTCTTCGGTCGAAGGCTTCGGTTTTGCTGGGGAAAATTCACCATGCCCCCTTGATTTTTGCAAGACAAGATTTTTGACGGGGAGGGATCTGTGCAGGTCCCTGATCTAGAAGCGTCAGCCATCTTGGTTGCTGATCTGAAGGTGAGAATGTCACTTTTTTGTCGCGATGCAGCTGTGATGATGAGAGTTTTGGAGATGGCTCTGGCCTTTGGAGACGCTGAGACCGTTCTGCTCTAGGAGTTAAAAAAAGCATAGGCCAGGGAGGCTGAACTTGAGTTGGAGACAATCGATCTATTCAACCAGTTGCAGACCCTTAAAGGCAACTATGACGCCAAGGTTGCGTTTCTTAAGGACATGAATGAGATGTCCAATGAAATGAAGAAGATCAAGGAGGAGAACGCCAATTTGAAGACCAAGGTCACTGAGCTATAGGGCTCCTCGGTTGTGGGGCCAAACGAAATTGAAGAGGAAAGGTCTTTGAAGACTCGACAAGAGATGGTCGAGAGAATACGTATTCTCGAGCAGGACGCCCTTGGAGTTGCCGAATTTGGGTTTTTTGCTGCTGTAGAGCAGGTGAAGGCCCTAAATCTCGACCTTCAGCTGGTCACCGAAGGGATGAGTGTTCTGCATCAGGTGGTCGACGTGAAGGTGATCCCGTCAGAGATTCTCAATGATGATGAATGATTGTTATGACTTAATGTATTTTGACCTGCGTGTCAGTTTTATGTACTTTTGATTGTCGGGCGGACATTTATGTAATATTTAAACACTTTCCCGACCATGAGGTCGGGTATATTTATGGATGCTTATTATGACATTATATGCCTCGACATTGTATGCCTTGTTTATTTTTTCTTGCGGAGAATTTGCTCATCTGGTCGTGTTACTCGATAGTTTATGGAACTTGTCGAGGTGGCGGAGTAATTTCTCTGGATGTGGGACTAGGATCTTGGTTGAGGTCCCGATTACACAGAGCTTGAACTTTCCTATCGTGAGCTGGGTGTCCTACCACGCTGGTACGGCGACGACGCAGAGCTTGAACCAAAGGAGGGTTGTCCCCGTCGGGCACCGAATTCTCTCTTTTCATGAGCGAAGACTTGCCTTCGTTATGTTTGAGGATTGTGCTTGCACCAGGGCACACTCCTTTGACCGGACGACCCTCCTTTGGGAGTATAATCGTGGGCGGGCTGTTCTAC